ATACTACACAGGTCATGAACAAGATTCTTTTTAATTTTCATTGTAAGTGGGGCTAAAGCAGTTAATTAAAAGTAGTGTAACATAAATGTAAATGCTGTAATTTGATTATTTTAATCAACCATGTAACTGGGATGGATTTGATGCCGGCGTGACCACAGTGCACAGGTCTGCTGTTGCACGGTGGTCCAAGGGACCGCTCAGGGAGTTTGTGCGTTCGCTCAGACACATGAAAAATTAGAGGAAACATTGACTCCAGTCTCATCAAAGTTGCATAGCTTGATGTAAATACCAATAATGCAGGATCCTTATCAGATATGAGGGGGCCACACATTCTGGTAGCTTAATACACAATTTACAAAAGCACATCCAAATGTATCCAAATATAAAAAAGAAAGAAAAGAGTTTTTGTATAATAAACCACTATATCCGCTTAGCTAACCCTTAAAGTTTGAAGAACGAAAGAAGAAAAGGGTGGCTTGTGTTATCCCACAAGAGGAAGGTTCTGGTTTTGAATCTGCAGATTGTTTGGGGCCCTGCTGTGGGTGGTTTGGTTACTAGTGATTCTAAATGGGTGTAGTTGTGAATGGCTGTCTACGTTTCTGTGTCAAACCTATGACTCACTCTTAATTTGTCATGGGAAAGCTAGAGCCTATTGCTCTGAGACAGCTGTGATAGACTAGCTATTCCACAACCCTGAACTGGACAAGCAGTTATCAGCACAGTGGATCATCTGCCTGAGCTGTAACCGTGTACTGTGTACTCATTTCTAATCCTGTCCATCCTGGTCACTCTCAATAAGAATTTCAACATCTTCAACTCTGCCACTTCTAGACATCATAGACATCTTCTCTATCACTTTTGCAGCCATCTTTCTGACACAAAACACCATTGACACTCGTCTCCACCTGCCCCACCCTGCCTGCACTCTGTTTCAAGTAAATTTAAAAAATAATTGGAGATACATCAAGCTTAAAAACATTTTCTCCATTATAGTTAACATGTGGCACGATCCCGCTGATACACGTTTGTAAGTTCAGCAAGAAGAAAATGTGCTGGTTGTTATTCTTAGAAATGGTGACAGCAGAAGGGTGTCAGGAAACTGCGACTATGCAACATTTTCCCCTGTGCTTTGATGTTACTGTAAATTCAAAATGACAACACCTAATAAAACTGCTTCTTAACACTTTCATCTTTCTGTTAAATAGATAAACAGAAAAAAGAATAGCTTTTGCCACGGCTGTTCTCAAGTGCAAACGTATGTAGGAATGATTTAGCTGTGCAGTGACAGACAGGAGACAGTTTTCAGATTCAGTCATGACTGAATGATCTCAAAAAGAGTTTCGTACAGTTTGAAAACAATGACTGATTATTTTTGACCGTAAACACAATAAATCACCTTAATGGAAGAATTAAATAAACTGATCAGTGCATACAGCAGTATGATCCAGCAGCTCTTACCATATCTTTTTCTGTAAGTCACAAAAGCTTTATATGAAAAGTAAAACATTGCTAAAGTCTGAAAAAGTCTGTGTATGCATGAAACTGTCTCCCTATAAAACTATCGCAACTCAGAATACTCAGATACCATAAAAATATAGTTTAAAACTCACCAAAATTCAATTTATTGTCCTCACAGGCCAGAAAAAAAGTAAATTTACATTATTTTAAGGTTAACTTTTGTGCTTACCCCAAATGAAGGAAAGACAAAGTGGGTGAAAGTTGCGATGTCACTTCTTTAATGTGAGCTCCAATGTAACGGAGGTGAGAAGAAACACCCAGTATGATATCTGACAAGCTGACAAACAAGCAGGAAAGCCTTCCTCTCTTTTCTCACACCTATGCTCGCATGCGCTCAAAATGTGCATCTCATGACCTCACACACCACACACACACAAACACACACACCACACAGAAAAAGGCCCCCTCGCTATGACAGCAGGGCTCGTGGAGGTCTGTCTGTTGCAGTGGGCTGCCTACTGTGGGCCTGTGTGCTATTACTTTAAAGGGGCTGAAATCTCCTGTAATTAGCCTGCATCTCATGCTCTAATTTGTGTCAGCTCATTTATCACAATCACAGGGACCCTATCGGCTCTCATTGTCCCCCGTGAACAGTCATATCCTCAGATGAATGCCTCCTGTAAGGGCGCTCAAAACACTCGTTTGTGAAACATACACCATGCCCAGCTGGAGCCCATTCTCCGAGCCACAAGTGGGCACG